ATCGAATTGATGACCATCGAATATTCGACTTTCAAATAATGTTCGAAAAACTTCATTTGTTTTATTTATTTGTTTCCTCTGAAACGTCTGACCAATATGGAAGGCGCATAAGATCTTCTCTGCCATGCTGCTGGGAAATGCCTCCTTTAATGCATTGTAGAATACGTAAGTATCATCCGTCATTACATAACGAGGTGCAAAATTAGGTACGCATTCCTGAACCTTCATAAGAAAAAACTATAAAGATCCATAACAATACTCACAACAGCGCCGTACCTTGATTAGTTCAGAAAGATGGCGGATTTCTAGCGTAGTCATTTGGAAAGAAAGCAGGTGGGCACAAGAGAAGCCGTTGCTGGCGTCATCAACGACAGCCAAAGTAGCGAGGCGTAAAGAATAACGTGCTACATTGAATGTGTCGTCAGGGACAAGGCTGCGGTGTCCGTGACGGTAAAATAGTCTTTGCCATGTGTGGTAACGAAAGCTAAATTGTGCCGCATAAGAAAGAGAATAGTCAGAATCTTAACAACAGTCAAAATAAATATCACTAACCTAGCCCAAAGCCGTCTCTAGCGGAATCCGTTGTGATCAGTTTTGAAGCAGCTATCCTTCAGTCTTCTAGTAGGGTTTTTAGCTAAGAGCGGTCATCATTACACGTCCTGCCATCCACGAGGCCATTACGAATAGCAATATTTCTAAATGTGTACCTGTACCTATGGCTCGGAAAAAAGTGCAACTTACGTCACATACCTCATTGTTACGAAGCATAGTCGAGGCTGTAGTCGTGCACTCTTTCCTTCCAACTAGTGCTCACTGCGAAGTTTCGTCACGATCTAGACGTAAATGTAAAGCGCGAGTAGGAAAGGTAAAGTGAAACGAACCGTTCGATAAGGAATGCCAAAAATAATCATAGTTTTCATGATATCCTCGTCCTCCAACGACATGCGGAAAGTAGACGTTTTCAGATCATGTCCAAGATGTCCAAAATATGCGATAACGTGCATCGTGCCATCATGAGAGTGTTTTACCTACAGAAGACGGCATTGTAAAAAAAATGAATCATAAAAGAATGAAGAATCCAAAAATCAAACAAAAACGAAATCCAAAATCAAACAAAATTGAGCTTGGAAGTTAATATGAAAAATGTCTCACTTTGGCAAAACTTGGGCAGTGTTTATAAATGCGTTTTGATTTCCCGAATCTAGTCTTTTACTCTTGTGGATCGACGGTTCCTCCATTCCCTCGTGCATGTTGACAAACAAAGTTGTAGGATATATCGTGTGCTGATCTTCTCGCTGTTCTTCTGACGAGCCT